GCATCCCCGGGACTGGGGGCTGCGGGGGCCGGGCATGGTTCCATAGAATGGTTTGGGCTGGAAGGGACCTTAAAGCTCATCCAGTTCCAGGCCCCTGCCCTGGGGGCCACCTGGGGGCCACCTCCCCCCAGCCCAGGTTGCTCCAAGCCCCGTCCAACCTGGCCTTGAACACCTCCAGGGATGGGGCAGCCACAGCTTCTCGGGGCAACCTGCCCCAGGGGATCACCACCCGCACAGCCAACAATTTCTTCCTAATATCCAATCTAAATCTCCCCTCTTCAAGTTTAAAACCATTCCCCCTCATCCTAATGGCTCCCCTCCCTGATCAAAAGTCCCTCCCCAGCTCTCCTGGAACACCTTTAGGCACTGGAAGGGGCTCTAAGGTCTCCTCGGAGCCTTCTCTTCTCCAGGCTGAACACCCCCAACTCTCTCAGCCTCTCCCCACAGCAGAGGGGCTCCAATATCAAGCCCCCATCGTGTGTGGCCAGATAGGGTGTTTATGCAGGCTGGATTCATGCTAATTGTCTGTCTGTCTTGCAGAATAATGATTTTCTCAGGAATACAGTGCATCGCCATGAGCCACCTGTCACTGCCCAGCCTATCCAGATCTTGGTGGAGGATGATGAGGTGGTGGTTGTGGACAAACCCTCCTCTTTGCCAGTCCATCCCTGCGGCAGGTTTCGTCACAACACGGTCATCTTCATCCTGGGCAAAGAGCATGATCTGAAGGAGTTGCATACCATTCACCGACTCGATCGCATGACCTCGGGGGTACTTATGTTTGCCAAGACCACAGAGGTATCCAAGAGGATCGATGAGCAGGTTCGGGAGAGACAGGTGAGAGCTACAGGCTGCAGTATTTGGGGGTCTCTTGCATGGTATTTTCTTGAAACAGGTCCAAAGTCAGCCAAATTTTTGGTCTAAATTAGCACAAGTGCTCAAAACAGCTTGTAGTCATCTTCCTGTTCTTATTGTATTATGCATGAGAGGCATCAAGAGAAAAAGACTGACTTAAAATTTAACTGATTTTGGTAATATTAAATCAGAAGGGATCTCCTTCCCGAAGGGACTGTGCAAACCAACTGGGATTGTGCAAACTAGTTAGAGAGTAGTTTTATTTGTAAGTGGAAATGTGTCAGTCATCTAATACTTTTTCAGTTTTAAAAGTTTTAGAAGTTTATTTCACTTTTCCAGTGGCTTTTGCCCCAAAAAGAACTGTAGCTGTAGGATACTAGCTTCCCAGGTTTGCTTCAAGGCTGTACACTGAAGGTCGCTTCAGTTGAATTGAGTTTAATATGAGGAAAATATTAATTTGAATTTAATATGAGGAAAATAGGCCAAGCTCTTGTGTTCTTTATTTCCTGACTAGTGAGGGAAAGCACGAGAGAAATTTGGCTTTAAATAGCTGATTTTATTTTTTCCATTTCCTGTTCAGTTGTAATAAAATTTGGGTGGTATGTTGCCTACAAACATATTTCACTGAAGAGAAGGAGAGGAGTAGCTAGGATGGGACGCGGGTGTAATCAGAACAGAGAGAGTTTTCTGTTCTGTTTTCTGAGAGTTACTCTTGTGTCTCCCCATAGCTGGAAAAGGAGTATGTCTGTCGTGTGGTGGGGGAGTTTCCAGAACATGAAGTGGTCTGTGAAGAGCCCATACTGGTGGTTTCTTACAAAGTGGGGGTGTGCCGTGTGGACCCCAAAGGGAAATTCTGCAAAACCATCTTCCAGAGACTCAGTTACAATGGCAAGACCAGCGTAGTCAAGTGTCTTCCGCGCACTGGCCGCACACACCAGATCCGGGTCCATTTGCAGTATTTGGGGCATCCTATTGTCAACGACCCCATCTATAACATGGAAGCCTGGGGACCCGACAGGGGCAAAGGGGGCAAGATCGATAAAACGGATGAAGAACTCCTTAAGGCGCTCGTAGAGGAGCATCGTTCCAAACAGAGCCTGGATGTCTTGGGTATTTCGGAGGAGGACTTGAACTCCAATGCTGAAAATAAAGACTGTGGTAATTCAAGTGACTGCGCAAAGTCTGTGCAGGCTGATCCTATAAATGAGAGCTCCGGCCCTGCTGAGGACACTAAGGATCCTGAGGGAAATGATGTAGCAACCTGTCCACCGAACTCTGACAGCAACCTGGAAACGCTTCAAAAAAATACAGAACTCGGTTCATGTGAGAATCGGGACGGGGAAATGGGAGAAAAGAGTTCAGAAGAGAAGGACCCTTTATGCGTGGAGTGTAAAATGACAAGGCGGGACCCGTCTCCCAAGGAGCTGGTGATGTACCTACACGCCTTGCGCTATAAGGGAGCGGAGTTTGAGTATTGCTCCAAGATGCCCGAGTGGGCAATGGAAGACTGGGAGGAGTGATTGAGCACATCTGATGCCTGCAGACATTTGTGGCTGGGAAAGCATCTTCTAAAGACCTAAGATTGCTTTTCAGTGTGGTTGAAGTGAACAAAATGCCTGTGACTGGAGATGGCATGGGAAGGCTGGCTGGGGCTGGAGAACTGTCCTGGCTGCCAACAGTAAAAGATGTGTGGGGTGACGGGGCTAGAACACTAGAATTACGTTGCCCTTTAGTGAACTAGCACTTCAGGGCAACAGACATCCCTCAGCACAGGCAGCTTTGCCTTTCACCTCAACCTGTTCGGGGTCTGCTGTCAATTATCCACACAGATAATTAAGTGCGTGCACTTAAAAGTCAGTAACTGATCTTTCTTTTGGCCTGCTACGTGATGCTCGTGTATCTGACAATAAGAGCTGCTGGAACGTTGTTCAGTATGCAGGATTTCCTGTCATACACAAAACTATTTTTATTGTATTTTATTGTCAGACTGATTTTAGAACTCAAACATGATCACTGCGAATGCCATAAGGTAAAATCGGAGCACTGTGAAGCCAATCCATTTTGTGCTTCTTGTTTGTCAGCAAGATGGACTTTGCTTTGAAATTGTTCTTTGAGAATTGGTTCAAATAATGACTTAATTTAAAGTTAGTAACTCTGGGGATGGGTCTCTTTACATTTGGCCGATTTTTGGAGGTACTAGTCCCCAGATTTTGTCTTTATGAGATTTATAAGGGGGCTGATTTAGTAGATTTTTTTGCCTTTCTGTTCCGCCACCGTTCCTGTCACCTATCTCCTGCCTTCTCAAAAACATCTGGCTTCTCTTCTGAGAAGCTATCGATCTCTATCCCTTATGCCTCATTGAAAACATCTTCAGACTTGAGCAGAAATCCAAAGTAGAGATCAGGCTGCCAACTTCAAATTTTTTAAATATTTTTTTTAAACTGTGCTGTAGACAGGTTGTTTCTGATTGGTGTGGAATTGTTTTTAATATCGCTTCAGTGTGACAATCGGCTTTGAAGAAAAACAAAAGCTATTTTGTGAACCAGATGACTTTTTTTAATACTTTTTATATTAATAAGTTTCCAGGATGATAAATATGACTATAGTTCTCACTTTCCTCAGTGTTTGTATGGTCACTTTTGGCCTCTGGGAGGGTTATTATAATAATCCTGCTGTTTCGGGTTCTTTTTTTATTTATCTTTTTTTTTTCCTCTTTTCTGTATGTGTCACCAGTGGTAATGACCAGCTCCAGTGACTGCTGCAGACAATGAAAACCTTTACCTGGGAAGAGCTATGTTGTAAATCTACCACCACTAAAGGTAGTAGATTTAGGGGCAACAGTTCTAAATTAGATTTTGAGATGTCCCAAATTACATTGTCTGGCTTTTGTTTAGTTTGGGGTTTTTTTTGTTTTGTTTTTTTTTTCCCCTCTCTGTAAGAAATAAGTATCTGAAAGGGATTTTACTGACTTGTGCCAGTAGATGGAGACTGGCTGGCTGGAGGGCCTGATGTGGAGCTGGAGCTCAGTGCTGTGTTTTTCCTTTTTCTGGCCATGCATAGTGACTGCAGTGGGCATCTTTTAATTATCACACCTTGCTGGTCAAGAAACCTTGGGACTTCTGTTTCAAGATACTTTGAACAATGAAAATTTAAGGTTGATTTTGCAAGGAGCCTGCATCATTTCATTTTATTTCGGTTCAGAGCTGGTGTCCAGCTGATTGGTGCCGTAAACATGCACAAGAAGTCAATGTTTGCTATTTTGCTAGTGGGGAAAGTGTTACTATTAGAGATGTCTTGTGATAAATTGCTATCAAAGGTTAGGTCTGAGGTAAACATCCCGGTTGTGGAATGATTGTGGGCATAAAGTTACCTGTACAACGCGTAGGTCCTGGAAGAAGTCCTTTCTGTAGTACAGTTTTATTTCGATACATCTTTTATGCTCCAGCAGAGGACCAGGAGGATGTGCATCTTCTGGCAAACGCTGGTGGGAACTTGGCTGTGTAGGATTGACGCAGAATTAACCCCTAAGACCTCACCAAGAGGCCCGTCTTCCACACGATCACACTCCTCCAGCTGTGTTTTAAGTGGTCCGGTACGGGTGCCACTTACGAGGCTGTATAGTCATGATCTGTCCATTCTCTGCACAGGGTTTAGTATAATCTGGTTTCCAGAAGGATTGAGGCGTAGTTGACCTGCCCAGCGTGTGCCTGGAGGGCTCGCGGAGCTGTTCCAGTGGAGGATGGGCCAGAGCGGCCATGATGTGTTTGGCTGGGGGAGCAGGCCGGTCTCCTGGGGGCTCCGTGTTCCACCTCCAGACTTTCAAAAAATTAACTATTGATGGATTAAGCAGAGAGGACAAGCTTTCCTGTATCCCTTCAGTACAGTCATTTATGCTTGTTAAATATTATAACTTCATGAAAAGCAAGGCCGACTGCAATAATTATTTCTCTAAAGCGTACCTTGACATAACTTTCCGTGAGGCGCCGCCATCGGTTTGGCCGGAGCTCCCTCAGCCCCTGATCTCGCAAATACTGACCCACAGCAATGGCTTGGGACCAGGCCAGCCCCGAGGCCACACTTTGGTGGGATGGCAGAGGGGGAATGATGCGGGAGCAGTTTCTTCTCAGCAGCATTGTGGCTCTGCACCATGAGGAGAGGAGAGGGCTGCGGCCTACCCCGGGGGCAGGGGGCCCGCGGCCCTGCCAGCCCCACAGTGATCCAGACACCTGGGGCCCGGGACACC